TTCTGTCAGGGATTTGGATAAAGGTTTTTGCCTTATGATACAAAGATTTGCTGTTCTCTTTCCCATTGTTTTCTGTCTGTCTTTGATTGTGTGATGGAGACTCTGAATCAGCATCTCAGCCACGCAGTAGCTTTGTTTGAATCTTTGAACAAGGAACTGAGGCTCTTGTCTGGTCTTTTGCTTCTATCCTTTTCCTCTTGTTAGTTATGAAACATTTGTATGCCGCCATCGCTGCTGTTGCTGCTGTAACTGGCCTGGTTAGTAGCAGAGAGTCTGTCTCTCCAAGCTGACCTTATGGTTAAAAAAGTCAATAAATAACATTAGTTTCCTTTACATTTGTGTCGTTGTGGGCTCGGAGATTCTTGGAAGGAATTTGATTTGATATTGAATTTAGGGTTTACTCAAAAGTGAACATTGTCTTTTTTTAATTGCCATCTGCTTGTTCCAAACCTGTTTGAGCTTCTTCATTCTGTCAAACACATACAAAAAAAAAAGATGGTTTAAATTTTTTTGCCACCAAAAGAGTTGAGAGTAACCATTCACTTCCATATATGAGGAACTCATACTGATTTGGAACAACTTAAGGGTGGGTAAACAATGAGTTATGTGCTATTTTGGGAAAAACTTTAATGTAAGCGTTTTTTTTTTTTTTTTTTTTTTTTTTTTTTTTTTTTTAATTTCATAACAAAAACACTAAAATAAAGAAAATGAATGTTTCAACTGTAAAAATGCATCATTATTTCTCACAAACGTCCACACCATTGCTTTCAAAATGATTTAAAATTCACAGTTAAAACACAATACTAAAATGGTGATATTTCTGTTTTGTTGCATTCTATTAAAAACAAACTGATTTTATTTGGCGTTTAAACCAACCAAACATTTAGGCTAAGAGGGATAGTTAAAGTTTAACATTTTTGAGAAGTTAATGTTTTGTATTTTTATATTAATATGTAGTTAAATGTTTTAAATATTTTTACCAAAAGTGCCCCTAGATCCACAAATAAACATTAGTTGTAGAGATAATTTGACATTATTAAACTGTCATAAATGTTTTCATTCATTCATTATCCTTCAGCATAGTCTCTATTTCTGAGGTCGCCACAGTTAAATGAACTGCCAGCTATTTCAGCATATGTTTTACACAGTGGATGCCCTTTAGCTGCAACTCAGTACGGTGAAAAAAACATCCATACACACTCATTCTCACACACACACTCATGCATACGGCCAATTTAGTTTATTCAATTCACCTACAGCACATGTTTTTGGAATGTGAGGGAAACCATACCAACACAGGGAGAACAGGCAAACTCCACACAGAAACAGGATTTGAACCAGTGACCTTCTTGCTGTGAGGCAACAGTGCTAACCACTGAGCCACCATGCTACCATTAATGTTCTTGTTTCTGAAAAATAATAGAAGGTTTATCTTGGAGACGCAAAGTGTACCTCCAATCAACAAATCATCCTGCTTTCTGCATTTGATGATTAAATGCTGCATGAAATTGATAGTTCTTTTTTTATCCATTTCTCTGCTCCACATTCTGAGAATATTCACAAGCACCAAATGATTTTACTATTTGTTAACTGGGTCACCAGGAAGCTAACAAACAACCGACACACATTTTTTGGTACTTCAAAAGCAAAAGATGAAGCTGCAAGCATCCATTTATATAATCTTTTGCAAAGTGACTGCTGCTTGAGGAAACTCAACATTTCTTGGAACATTATCAACATTTTCTTGACATTATTTTTATGCTTAAATAAACATTAGTGAAATGCTGCTGTGTAAGTTTCATAAATGAAATTATAAAAAGGAAACATATCAACAATCACATCCACACACACACACAAATTGCTGCTTGTTCAAATGACTAATTTAACCATTTATCTACCCCACCAAGAAAACAAATGTTTGGATTGCATTTCCTAACTCCTAATGTCGCTAGTTAACAGTCAATGCAGTTTTTTTCTTTTTTTTTTTTTCAGCACAACCCTTAATTTGTAAGAAATCAGCCTCTACCAAATAGTTGATATGTCGGTTTATGGTAAAGATACCGGATTTAATACATATACTATAAAAAATATGAAGTGTACGACAAATTTATTTTAATTTTTTTAAATCTAAATAAAACATTTCTAAATACTAAGTCATCTTTATTTTTTTAAAGTATGCCATAAAATATTTCAGATTCTCATTTAACATGCTTTTTTTTTTTGTTTGTTTGTTCAACCCAAATCAAATGTAGTAGTGCAACACAATTATGTTTGTTTGATTTTTTTTTTTTTGTAAACCAACATTGCTGTGTGTAAACCATTATTTAAAACAGTTATTCTCTAAATACCTTTAACAGTCGTTACTTAAAACAGTAAAAACATGGTCAACTATTTGGTAGAGGAGCAGTCAAGGGGTTAAAATGAGCTGTAAAAACACAATTATTTGCATTTTTTAGAGACAACTTAATTGCTTTATGAAAGTCCTCATAAATTTGTAACTTAATCGATTTGTTTTTGGACAACATGACTGAATTGTGTGTGGCATTTTTTTACAGTGTGGGTTATTTATAATTCCACTCGCACACACATTTGGATCTTTTATTTCTTCTCTTTTTTTCGGCTTACTCCATCAGGGGTGTATGTATGTATATAAATGAGAGTCTATGTATGTTTCCAGTGATGGGTTGCAGCTGGAAGGGCATTCGCTGTGTAAAACATATGCTGGATAAGTTGGCGGTTCATTCCACTGTGGCGAGCAACCCCAGATTAACAAAAGGACTAAGCTGGAAAGAAAATGAATGAATAAATAATATGAATTTCTGCATTTAGGCTGTATCTCAGAATTTTCATTTATTTGGGTAATTCTGAGTTTATTTCATGCTTTTCTGGTGTTTTGTTCTGTAGAATTCTGTTTATACCTTATTTCTATGATTTTTTTAGAATTCTGACTTTGAGTTTACATCTCATATTTCGAACTTTTTCAGAATCCTGAGTTTACAACTTGTATTTTTTTTTTTTAGAATACTCCGATTATATATCTCATAATTGTGATTGGGTTTTTTGTTGTTGCTGTTGTTGTTTTTGTTGTTTTCAGAATTCAGAGTTTACATCTCATATTTCTAACTTTATTCAAAATTCAGAGTTTACATTTTAGAGTTCATCATGAGTTATGTCCAGTATCTTAACACGTCATATTGTATACTCCAAAAATTACATTTGCTGTTTGTTCAAACTATTTTAAATAAGCTTAAAACAAATCAATTCTTGAGGGTTTTTTGTTTAATCCACTTAAATATGTTGCCCCAACACAAATCGATTGTGTGGAACCCAGCAGTTTCTTACAGTGTAATTTTAATCTTATTTTATCATTCATTTTCCTTTCAGCTCAGTCCCTTTAATAATCCGGGGTAGCCACAGCGGAATAAACCACCAACTTATCCAGCATATGTTGTACGCAGCTGATGCCCTTCCAGCTGTTACCCATCTCTGGGAAGCATCCGGATCCATACACACTCATTCACACTCATACACTATGATCAATTTAGCCTACCCAATTCACCTGTACCGCATGTCTTTGGACTGTGGGGGAAACAGGAGCACCTGGAGGAAACCCACGCAAACGCAGGGAGAACATGCAAACTCCATACAGAAACGCCAACTGACCCAGCCGAGGCTCGAACAGGCAACCTTCTTGCTGTGAGGCGACAGCACTACTGTACCTACTGCGCCACTGCATCGCCCAATTTATATTATCATTTAATCATTTTTCAATTTAATCTGAGTCCTTTAATTCATGACAATTTTCTGACATTTGTTTCTCTCCAAATCATGAAGAGAAGATTATTTCTAAACTAATTTCGAGAGGATCACATGCTTATTATTGACCATGGCTGGTCTCACATTAGAGAACATGATTCACCAATGGAAAGATTCCTAACTCACCATAACCAGAGTTTCTTACCTCAGTATCTTTCCCCTTTTCAGCCCAACTCCTCCTCCGTTTTTCCCTGAAAGGGTGGAACGGTGGGCGGCCCAGTGGTTAACAAAGACATGCAACACAAGTTAATTGACTGAACCAAATTGGCACCAGAGATGACCTCATAGTCAGCAGTATCTCTCCATATAAATCCCTAACTTGTCATTACCCATAAATAAGCAGTTCTTGAGACCTACCTGAGCTCAAACTCCCCTTTCACTATGCAAACGGAAGGGAGCCCCGGGCTCGAGGATCTTATGAATTTAGGGCTCTCTCCTGGGACTGCATGCCAAACTCACTTTATAATCAATCATCAGCTAAGTGCTAACTCTTGAAATTTAAACTTAAGTTCGAACATTAAATTTATATATAAATTAACAATTTAATTTCTCAAGCTTCGGAGTTTCGAGACTTTTTGCAATTCTAACCTCATTTCTCACAATTTTCAGTCTGTATCCCACAGAATTTTTTTCTCAATACTGCAATACAAAACTTCACAACTGAAAGAAGAAACATTGCAATATTTAGATAAAAGCAACAACCCAGCAAACATTTTTTGTTTTTTAAAAGATTTCTAATAGACATCTAAACATAGTCGTCTTGGTTTAAACAAGGTCAATGAAAATCTAGATGTCTAATAGGCCAAAACTAGACTAGTCATCAAATAAACAGAAATGAATGACTACATATAAAGTCTGTCTAATCAGACTATTTGATGATTAGTCTAGTTTTGGGCTGTTCTTAGATATAGATTTTCACTGACAGCCCAAGTTTAGCCTTGTTTTAGCCAAGCTGTCTACGTTTAGATGTCTATTAAACACAAAATGTATGCTGGGAAGTCTCCATGTCTGCTCGTGTATTTGAGAATGTGTGTGTTAATTACTTAGCCTAGTGTTTGTCTGTCGCCGGTTGCCCTCCTGTGGAGAGATTATTACTGTATTTAATTTCAGAGATGCAGAAGGGTCCGCGTAAGAATGATTAAGTGAGTGTAAAGTAAGCTGGGCTTTGCTATATATGTGTCTCTGTCATCCTGGACTTCACTGTGCTGGTGAAGATGGGACAAACTGCAACTTTGCCCTGCAGAAAAGGTGGAACGTACGTCATCGAGCTTTATGAATGGTTCAGGTAAGTCTGCAAACTAGAGTGATTGAAGCTGCGCTTTAGAAAACAATGGTACGTCATGTAATAGACCACACGATTATGGATTATGGATGATCTTTATTATTGGAAAGTCATTACGTACAGCTGTAAAATGGGTCAAGAACGGGTCATGCCGTTCTGAAGAGTTTTATTGTAGGCCATAAAATGCCAACCGTGACTGTATAACCATATAAACTCCATCTCTGAATAAGTAGGTCATCTGCTTATTTTCTGTCTTTGTTTATTTTGGTGACCTTTACTGTAGCCAGTTTTATTTTTATTCCTGGAATATTTACTGAAGTATGTGATAACTGTTTTAATTTTTTTTAATATTTTGTAATAGCTAGAAATAATTTTATAATGATGACAGAGCAAAACAAGTCCGAAATAAATGCAATATTATACAAATATTCTTTTTCAGAACAAATTTTTTTAAATTAATTTTTTTTCCATAAAACAAGAATAATTCTTATGATTATTACTATATTAAACATATTTTTAATATTAGTTATTTGTTAATAAACAAAATTTTTGTTACTTGTGACATTCTAAACTAAAATGTATAAATAACATTTCAATATTGGTAAAATTTAAAATAGTGTCTAAATTACTTTTATATTACATTATATGTGTTACATTATAGTAAAACAACACTAAATATGATATCAAGTGTATTGTTTTACTTTAGCAAATATCTAACTAAAAACTAATGTTAATTTAATACATTAGGTAAATATATTACTTATCAGTAAATTAATATTGCAGTAGTTTTAACTATTGTCAAACTTTTTGTCTGTCTTTTTCTGTGTGTGTCAGGAAGTTTCTGAATGAGTGTCCAAGTGGCCTGATCACCCTGCATGAGTTCAGACGGCACTTCTGCAATGGGACGGTAGGGAAGGAATCAGCAGAGTATGCAGAGCAGATCTTTCGAACACTCGATAACAATGGGGTATTTATTATACACATCATACATCTCATGTTTTATCATTGCATTTGCTAGACACTGAGACTGGTTAAAGAAGGAACAGAATAGAGTCATCAAGATCTGTACTCTCTTGAAAAAATACAAATATTCTTAATACTTTTTCCATTAGTTATTATAGGTCTACATTATCTATATCACACTCAATTTCTAGACATTTTTTAAAATTATTTTCTATAACCTAAAAGTAAATGAATCAGGGTTAATTAAATATTTATAAACTATTAAAGCCGTTTTACTACATGACAATACATTTAAGCCATGAAAATAAAATAACAAACTACACTAAAAAATACTGGGTTCCACAATTCCTTCATGTTGTCCCAACACAAATCGGTTAAGTTAACTTAATAGTTATTTACAAATTTAAGTGGATTAAACATGAAAAACAATTAGGTTCTTCCCCAAAAAACTTAAGAATTGTGTTGCTTTGTTGAAGTTAACTTAATTGTTTTTACAAATTTAAGTGAACGGAACATAGAAAGTGCACAGTATACAGCTGTTATGAATTTAGAATACTTTGTGATGCTGCGATTAAATAAAGATTGTGTTGGTTCAACTCATAATAAATAAGTTGTTTAAAAAGCACAAGTAATTTTTGAGCGTAATTGTCGTAATGTAATAGTGTCTATTTTTCATTTAGTTTAACTCAAAAACTCACAAAAAATGTAGATACTAAAAAGTATTTAAATCAAATTTAATAACAATATATTTTTGAGAAAAACAAAAACAGCAAATCACTGTAATGAAAATATATATTTTAATATTTATTATCTATACTTTTTATTTATAACACATTATGTACATTACTATATTGTTAAAACCTCTGTCATATATTAGTATAATATGTGGCCTATGATTATATCTGAAACCTCTATAAAATGTCAAAATTTTATATAAGAAATATTTCATGACACACTGTCTTTGAGTAATTACAATTTATACAAAATAATTAAATCTAAAGCAGTTTGTACTGCACTGAATATACACTGTTTTTATAAAATTTTTATAGTTTTATTTAATTTTTTGTTGATGTCACTGTAAATCAACCTTAGTGTTGATTAGTGTCAAGCCTATCTTAAGCTCTTTTAGCTAAATAAAAAGGGTAAACATGACTGTTACACGTACATTTGATTCTTACGTGGTTAAATTGCTAAAATTATTTATAAATCAATGTTTGCGATATGAACACTGACAGGATGGAGTTGTGGACTTCAGAGAATATGTGACCGCCATCAGCATGTTGATTGAGGGCTCGACGGTGGAAAAACTGCGCTGGTCCTTCAAACTTTACGACAAAGACAAAGACGGAGCCATTACACGATCAGAGATGCTGGAAATCATGCAGGTAAGCGACTTGAATGCCTCCATTGCTTTACTTCGATTCTATCTCGTTTTTATGTGGAGTTTTTTTGCTTCGCTGCGGGCTGCTCCGCAAGAGGGCGACATAAACCACAGTTTAATCTGATCTCAGGCGGTGTACAAGATGAGTGTTGCAGCATCACTCACCAAACCTGATCCCCTGACCGCTGAAGAGTGTACCAACAGGATTTTTGTACGACTGGACAAAGATAACAATGGTAACATGCTGTCATTTTGCTAAAAATAGAAGTATTATTTAAATTTTCATGTAGTGGCACTAGCATGAACTTGAATTCAGTCTATGGCGAAGTGTTTTAATAAGTAACCAACACACTATGTTAATATTGTCTAGCTGTTTTCTTCACATACTGTATATAAATCTATGCAACATATTTAAAAAGAAATTGTTATTATATCCTCCAGAGACCCAAAGACATATTTTTTGTTTAATTTTTTCTGTGATTTCCTACATCCTTTGGGTTAAAAAAAATCTACTATTTAGAGTTTTTACATTTTGTTTTTATTTTTAATTTTACAGCATGTCCACTGTAGTGGTCCACACGACAATTTTTGTTTGAAACAACCACCACTCAGACAACAAAACTGTACAGGATATGGCTGTAAAGGGATATTAAGCCAATATTAATGTAACAAAAACCAAAACAAAAGCCATTTTTTTCTTTTGTATTGAAATTCCTGAAACAGTTTAGTCTAAAAGAGAGCCGAACTCAAAAAAAAAGAAAGTGATGTTAATCCAATACAATTTTAACATAAAAGCAGTTTAAAACTGATTGTCATTCTCTAATTGTTTCTATTTCTCTAATTGTCCGATTGTCAGACTCTAAATCAGAGTCTCCCTCAACTATTTTATAAGGAATTCTCTCTGCTTCAGTTCTGCCCCTACAACACACAGTCATTAATTACATTAAGATGTTCCTGGTGTCCACTATAAAGTGGACATTTAAAAAAAAAATTATATTTAGAAATACAAACAATTGAACAGCTTTAAAAGCTATATGTATTGTTCCTGACACTTTAATAAACAAATAAATATGTAATAATAATATTAGAAAAACATTTAAAAAGGTAAATTTTACATAACCCCTTTCCATCCCATAAAATGTGCTATTTTGTATGTCGGCCATTTTGGATGCGGTGTAAGAAGTGGTTTCTAGCATGCCAGCCAATCAAATGACACATCACTAGAAAGCCCAGGATGTCATCTGAACAGTACAACAGGACTTGACAGAGTAGATCAAAACATTCAAAGAAAATTTATGAAAACGCAATGTCCACTACAGAGGACACAAGAATATGGGCGAGGTCTCAGGAGAATATATATTAAAGAATAAGATCATTTACATATTTTTTTAATCACAAGAATTACAAATATGTACACACAGTTAAAGTTAAAATTATCAGCCATCCTGTGATTTTTATTTTTCTTAATTTTCTTTTCAAATATTTCCTTACAGACCAAAGGCATGCACTATATGTAAATTGGATGAGTGAATGAGTGTTTATGGGTGTTTCCCAATACTGGGTTGCATCTGGAAGGGCATCTGCTGTGTAAAACATATGCTGCAATATTTTCCAGGTCATTCCGATGTGGCAACCTCTGAAATAGTCTCTGTGGTGTAATAATTCAGAGGGCTAATAATTCTGACTTCAACTGTATATCTTTAAATTTTGCTGTTATTTCATAGTTCATTTATAGCCATATATCAGATTTCCATATAGGCTATAGGGTGGTTGCACTTCATTGCATTTAATTAGCAAGTACTTACAAAGTAAATGCAGGGAAAGTTTTAGTTATTAATAATAAATTTATGTAAATGCCTAGTACATGTGAAACATTTCTGTTAACCAAAGTGCTACCACTATTCTGCTTAATCCTTGGGTATTAATAGCTTTTGCTTGTCATTAATAGATACTGGTATTTATTCATTAGTGACTATGATATACACCAACTACTAGTACTTGTTCTTTAGATAGACTATAATCTTTGTTTATATGATGTTACTTATTCATTAGATACTGGTACTTATTAGATATGTTTATGTACATTTTTATATAAGTTACAGTGGTAGAGAGAGCTCAGATGTGCTACAATGTAAAAAAACATTAAAACATTAAATAAACAAAAACAAACTGAAAAATATTATGATTCATAAATGTGAGAGCACATGTAGACACAAATTATAAGAATGTGAAAATAAAGAAACACACTACAAATGATGCAAAGGAATATGTTGAAGGATCACCAAAAAATGAAGAACTCGACTGCTTTCTGTTTATGGTCAGCATTGTTGACTGCGATCTGAGCTTGTTATTTGTCTATTTAAATGTTCTGATTTTATGGTTCCTTGTTGTTTATTTATTTTAGCCCGAATGTAAAATGAAATATTTTTAAAAAGAGTTAATTCACCCCTCAGATCTCCGCAGCACTGTAGACTCCAAACAGGATGCAGCTTTAGTCATCAATTTTTGGGTTTCCTCAACAGATTTTTGTTGTGGTCTGCAATATTTTTAGCGTGTTTCTGTATTTGCATGAGTTCTAGAATCTGTATGCATGTTGGTTGTCAAATTCAGGAAGACATTTTTTTTTCATTTTTAATGATTGGCTCTCTTGGCCACTAGCAGTACATCTAATGAGTAAATGCTTTATCTTAAAAGAAATAGCTAGTATTAAAAAAAAAAAAACACTAGTACATCTCATAGATGAATTGTTAAAGCTTGCTGTACGAGTGTGCTCATGTCATTGTTTTTTTCTGTCTCTATAGCCATCATCAGTCAAGATGAGTTCATTGAAGGCGCACTGAATGACGAATGGATCAGAGAGATGCTGGAGTGTGATCCCAACACAGTGAAGATGGAGAGATCTCTTAAAGGCCACACAGTGCTGTAAAGCTGTGTGTCTGTCACACATTCTGCATGAATGAGGCCATGGCTGATGGCGCAGCATTGATTGTTGATGGCACTGTTACGCCTTCAAGATGAGAAGTTCAAGCATTATAGACCTAGTATATTTCAGTTGAGTTATAAACGTGGACTGTATAAACTGACACAATCAAATGACATTCTGCTTCTGATATTGTGATACATGTGTATTCATAGATATTTGATTTTCAGTATTTAAATTTAAATGTTGTGTTTTTTTTTGTTTTTTTTTTTATTGTGTGTGTGGTTTAAAAAAATCTACAGGTCATAAATATTCTTTGTTATCATTAATCTAAATGTGCATTGTTTCCTAAATTATATCCTCTTCTCCTACTTCTTAGTCATTCATTCATTCATTTTCTTTTCAGCTTAGTCCCTTTATTAATCTGGGGTCACCACAGCGGAATGAACCGCCAACTTATCCAGGAAAATGTTATACACAGTAGATGCCCTTCCAGCTGCGACCCATCACTGGGAAACATCCAAACACTCATTCACACACATACACTTCAGACAATTTGGCTTACGCAATTCACCTATACCACATGTTTTTGGACTTGTGGGGGAAACCGGAGCACCCAAAGGAAACCCACTCAAACATGAGGAGAACATGCAAACTCCACACAGAAATGCCAACTGACCCAGCCAGGCCAACTGACCCAGCTCGAACCAGTGACGTTTTTGCTGTCAGGCAATTGTGCTACCCACAGCGCCACCGTGCTGCCTCCTTCTTATTATTCATTCATTCATTCATTTTCTTTTTGGCTTAGTCTCTTTATTAGTCTAGGGTCGCCACAGCAGAATGAACCGCCAACTTATCCAGCACATGTTTTATGAAGTGGATGCCCTCCCAGCTGCAACCCATCTCTGGGGAACATCCATATACACACTCATTCACACTCATGAACTACGGCCAATTTAGCCTACCCAATTTACCTGTACCGCATGTCTTTGGACCGTTGGGGAAACCGGAGGAAACCCATGCGAACGCTGGGGGAACATGCAAACTCCACACAGAAACGCCAACTGACCCAGCCGAGGTTCGAACTAGCGACCTTCTTGCTGTGAACTATACTAATGTATACTAATAATAACAACAATAATATGTTGTTGTTGTTATTAACAACAGTACAGTGTTTTTTAAACCATGACATCACTTTAGCCACTTTTTTTCAAAAATGCTTCTTTATTGTTATTAAAAATTTGGTACAATGTTATAAACAACTCAAAAAGTTCACATTGTTGCAAATCAGTTAACGTTTCTATAAGTTTGCATTATTATTTGCAACGTGTGCAATAATATCAAATGATGTTTCTCATTTTTTTGATTGTTAAAAACAATTATTTAGGTTTATTGGTCAACTAGTGAGTGACATTAATATAATCAATAAGGTCAAATTTTTAATATTATTATTTGCTTCACATTTTTGGTGAATTGCATGTTGTAATTGTGCATTGTATTTCAGGGGCAGCATGGTGTCTCAGTGGTTAGCACTGTCAACTCACAGCAAAAAGGTCGCTGGTTCGAGTCCCAGCTGGTCCAGTTAGCGTATATGTGTGGAGTTTGCACATTCTCCTCGTGTTTGCGTAGATTTCCTCCGGGTGCTCCAATTTCCCTCACAGTCCAAACACATGCGCTATATTGCAGGTGAATTAAATAAACTAAATTGGCTGTGTGTGTGTGTGTGTGTGTGTGTGTGTGTGTGTGTGTGTGTGTGTGAGTGTGAGTGTGAGTGTGAGTGTGAGTGTGAGTGTGTGTGTGTGTGAGTGTGTGTGAGTGTGTGTGAGTGTGTGTGAGTGTGTGTGAATGTGTATGCATGTTTTCCCAGTACTGGGCTGGAATTGCATCCGCTGTGTAAAATATTTGCTGGAAGAGTTGGTGGTTCAAACCGCTGGGGCGACCCCTGATAAATAAAGGGACTAAGCTTAAGGAATATGAAGGAATGTTGGTTTCATTGTATTGCTCATGTATTTAGTTCAATTTAACCCTCACACAAAACTGCATTAGTAGATTCATATACGTATTAGACTTTTAAACTGGCCAACGGTTGGTTTTTGACACATTGCACTATTTAAAGGGTTAGTTTTGAATGTTAATTTTTGACAACTGGGATGATTTATTACTCATCTGAAAGCCCAGTAAATACCCTTTCCATCGATGTATGATTTGTTAGGAGAATATTTGACTGGTATAAAACTGTTTGAAAGTCTGAAATCTGAGAAAATCACATTTAAATTTGTCCAAATTGAGTCTTTATACACATTATTAATGATTTTTTTTTTTTTACATATTTACAGTAGGTACTTCAAAAAATGAGACACCATGGTGGCACCTCACAGCAAGAAGGTCAATGGTTCGAGTCCCTGCTGGACCAGGTGGCATTTCTGTGTGGAGTTTGCATGTTCTCCCCATATTTCAGTTTCCCCCACAGTCTAAAGACATCGGTATAAGTGAACTAGGTAAACAAAATTGGCCGTACTGTATGAGAGTGTGTGAATGCAAGAGTTTATGGGTGTTTCCCAGTACTGGGTTGTGGCTGGAAAAGCATCAACTGTGTAAAATATATGCATAAATAGTTGGCGGTTGATTCTGCTGAAAGAAAATGAGTGAATGAGATTACAAATTATCATTGAACATTTTTGGAAGTATCAATAATTCTGACCTAAGTTACAGGCTACAATATGTTTTTGCCAATTTCCACAAATATACCCCTGCAACTGTCATCCAAAGACACATATAGCCTACTTTAATTTTGTTAATAGTGTTACTATGGTAAAGGCTCATTTTGTAAATATTAATTAGGTTGCTGTGACGCAATTTCGTAGCCTTTCCATGGCAAAGATCTTGTATTGAATATTAAATGAGTTTTTCCATAACCATCCAATGGCGAGGACACGGCTTTTGAATATTAAGTAGGAAGCCTTCGCCGTAGTAGGATATTCCCAGCCTGTGACGTCCCACATTCCCACTTTCATTGTCGACATGGCGCTGGCGAGGTGGGAACACCAACTACGGAAAGAGCAAACCTCGTAAAGAGATTGAAAGTTTACGGATTTATTTTTCCATACTTTTGACGGCGGTCCAGATTTGGTGAGTAATCTCAGTATAAATAACTTTTCAGAGTAACTGATAAATATTTTGCTCTTTGAGAATTTACTTCGCTTTCAAACTTGCTCGAGAGGGGAAACTTTCTCGTAATTTATTAAAAAATTTTTACCTAAAAACATACCCCACAGAAAGTTTTTTTAAAGTACAGTTGTGCGTAACGTTAGTTATGGAGCATATTTTATTATCGTCACTTTACAACTAGAAGATAATATTTTCATAGCCCAAGGGATCGGTTACTAGCAGCATTTGCATGTCTCTGAGGTGACTTAATATTCATACACAACGATGTTTCGAGATGTGATGTATTTCAAAACAAGTACATAGTATATCATTAGCCATTTTAACAATGAATTGATGTATTTGAAAGCAGAGCAGTGTGTAGTTTAGACACAGCTGTGTTTGTAAAGAAGTGATTCACACATTCCACGTCGCCACAGAAGAACAAGAGCTGCTCTTACATGACTTTCTTTCCTTTCCTTCATCCACACCTGTGATTTGGACTGAGACTAAGATTACAGGACTTCTTTATTACTATCAGGATCTTCAGACGCAAATTTGGTTTGTCAGCCTCCATTAACATAAAAAGCTTGAATGATTTTTGATGGGAACAAGTAGACCAGGGTAAGTTGTCACACTGAACATTGTAAGGGATATTTATCAGTAACTGTTTATGAATTAAGTTAGTAATTGACAGACAAATTATGTTGTGTTTTCTTTCACAGGTTAGGATTTTTTAAAACACTTAAATACACTCCACCAACAATACAGTTACAATAATAATATCATTTTTTTAATTAGCCAAATAAAATTATGGGTTCCTAGTTTTTGAATCAAAGTTTGAACTGCATTCAACGATTAGTTTTTTGTTGACACTAACACGGTTTCTGTACCTTTTGTTTATTGAAATAAAATGGATGTTAGCTGAAATAAAGATAAACGAATAAAAAATGCTGCTAATTGACGGCATCCCGGCAGACACAGGATGTCAGCATGATGTCAGATTGACGTTGTACCCCAACATCATGGGAACGTTGCATTTTCTTTGGAAATTAAAATTGGGTTTGTCAGAATCCAACATCAGGCCTACATCAATGTCCAACCTAAAATCAATCAAATATCAACATCTAATTATGTTACTGCTTGATTTTGTGTGGATGTTACCACTATAATGTCTATCAAATCTTAAATTTTGGTTGCCATACCTGACGAATAAATGTCAGTATTTGACGTCTATATGATGTTGGTTTAAGATGTTGCGTTATAGTCACAACACAACTTAAAATCAACCAAATGTCAACATCATTTGATGTCGTTATTAGAGGTCAAGATAACGTTGTCCTTAGAAGCTGGCTAGACATTGAATTTTGGACGCCTGACATCACAACCCAAATCTAACCTAATGTCTGAGGACGTTGTGTGCCTGCTGGTATATTTCTCCTTTTCACATTTTACCATTTTATGTATGTAAAAATTTACAATAATAATAACAAAATTATATAGAAAAAGTTGAACACAGCCGAATTACGTAGACTTTCAAATGAAAAGATATATAAATAGATAACTAAAATCTACAATTTTATTTTATTGATAGTACAAAAACACTGGAGCATTTTTATAATGTTAAAGCAATTTAAGGTCTCTCTAGATTTAGAAACTGACTTGAAATTTCTTAGCTTTGTAGTTTTAATCTTTGTCCTTGTAACTGCTTTGATAATAAGACTTGCAGTGTCAGTCACACATCAGTGAAATAGTGTAAATGGTGTAATGTTACAGTAACCTCTTGTATTGAAAGACTTCAAAGAGCGCCGTCTGCAAGGGATGCTGTTTCGTCTGCACGTCTTTATTTGTTGTTCAGAAAGATTCAGTCATCATCCTAAAAGGCTAAAACAACATTCAAATGCATGTGAGCTGCGAGTCCTACATTCACTTGCAAACCACATCTGTGCATTTACCTAAGCCATGAGGAATTTTTGTTATTTTTACTGTTAGCTATAGATAGCATATATGGAACGCCCCTGAATTCAGATCGGTTCCCGTTCTCTGCTCCATGTGGTTATGTGAACTATGATGCATCATATTTTGTGACTGTGCCTCGTCCTGGTATAATGACAGGATATTTCAGTCGGATCAATGTCAGACTGGGGTCCTGTAGATGTGTTCACTGTCTGCGTCATCGGCTGCTTGTGTATAAAACTCTGCATAGTGACGCCCTATAGCCACAAAT